GTGTACGACCACTTCTTGCCCCACAACCAGCTGGCCACCGGTGACGTGGAAGAGGAGTGGCGCACACGTGCCCGATCAATCCAACCCGCTTGCAGGCCCAATTGGCTGGCAGGTCCCCCCATTTTGTTTTATTTTTATTATTATTTCTTTTTCTTTATTTATCTCAAAAGTAAGACTATAAAAATCATATAAATTCGTATAAAATCACATAATTATCCAAAAATTCACGTTAATAAACTAAAAATCACTTTTCACACTTTAACACAAATATAAGTCTATTTATCATGAGTTAAGGCTAAAACTATATTATTTACTAATTATTAACTCATGATAATGAAGACTTATCAGCTCTCCTTTAGGATGCTAGCTGATGAGTTTTGTACAGTGATTTTTGTTTGTTGGTGAGTTATTTTTTTTAAAAGAATGAATGATAATGAATAATTCTTCCTCAGAGAGGATTTTCATTTTGGGTCTCAGTGCCGTTTCAAGAAGTGTGAAGAATGCTAGGACCGAAACTGTTGAACCATTTACTAAGCCCACTACTCGGGTTACTTACGCCTGAAGAGGGAAGGTGAAGTCCTAAGTGGGACGAGGGGCCCAATAACAAGGTCCTGAGGGGGGGGGGGGGGGGGGGGGGGGGGCTTCATTGTGGGGCACTTTTGGAAGTCATCTTGGGGGGGTCAAGTGCACTATTGAATTCACCCCCGAATTGGTTCTAGGCTTCCTTCAAAACCCTCCCATACTTCTTATCCCATCTCTATTTTAATATGTTATTACTAAGATTTGTGCGTTTTCTTTATTTTCCTTGATATCTAGCCAAGATCATAGGAGTCCTATCAACTGATATCAACAAAATGATGCCTAGAAATGATGAGAGCTTCGAGAAGGACGTTGAGATTTTGAAGGAGACTATGCAAGCAGACTCATTGTGTTTAGCCTTCGTGGAGAGTAATGGGCTTTTTTAAAGGGATTCCTTAAAGTGCTTTCTTAAAGGGCTCTTATAAATCAACACATTTAAAAAATATTCTGAAAATCATAAAAACTCAGGTAAAATCATTTATGATAAAGAAAATGATCTCCAACTATTAAGTTCTGATTTTAACCCTAATCATGATAGCTTTAAGGGTACACATGTTACTTTGCCCTAATAATTATGGATTTCTCATTAAATATATGTCATTTAGTATGAATAATACATAAAATAAACTAATCATGTGTTACTGATCACATCAAAATAAAACGTTAAAAGAGAACAAGTTGACATAACTCACACACTCGATGGCTCAAATTCCACAAAAAATGAGCAACAGCTCGTAGTCACCAACAAGTGTGAGGACAGTAGGAGGGGCCACTAGAGAGCCAATGAGGGAGGGAGATGGCCACTCCCTTGGCAGCATTGAACAGAGGACACATGACTTGATATAACCCATCGTGAGAGATCCTTTAGATGACCTAACTGTGAACAACTAGGGTGGACGCTGACTAGACATTCCTCTTTTAGGAGGGTGTAACTTGGATAGCTGGATACTCAAGGTGGAAATGTATTTTGAAGTGTGGGGAATTAGCTATAGTGATAAGATGAATATCACCCCAGTTGTTCACCTATTTGGATGAACAACTACCTATTCTGATAAAGTATTGGTATTGTATAAGTGTGTGGATAGTGAGGAGCTTCTCAAGGACTAGGAAGATGTTAATCACTGTTTATGATAGAGATTCGGCTCTTAATTAGCAAGTACATTATGGGAGCAATTGTTGAGTTTCAAACAACATGGCACAATATCTGATTATACAACGTATTTTGAATTGTTATCTAGTGCAATTCATGACATTTTAGAAGAAGCCTTGAAAAGTACATTTGTTAAGGGACTCAAGCTTGAGATCAAGAAGGTAGTCAAATTTTCTAGCCTAAGGGACTTAATGAAATTATGGATACAACTCAAGCTATGGAGGAAAAGAATGCAACCCTCAAAAGTATGGGAGAGCAGATGCGTTAGAAGAAGGAGAAGTCATTTATCTTTGGGAGAGCATTTCTAGTAAATCTAAGAGTACCAAGGATCAAGAGTCTTCCTCAGATAAGGGGAGTCATTAGAAAGATAGATCCACCCCATTGAGGGGCACAAAAATCAGCTCAAGGGCTGCAAGTAACAAGAAGAGATGATTTTAGGCATGAAGGGGGTGAAACCTGAGCTGCAAGATAGATAAGTGATAACATGCCAATAATGTTAATTTATATGGGTTATTATGGATAGTTTCTATGTTTATATGATTATAATTAGCATGTTATTATATTTATATCATGGATTATGTATTTTTTTATGGATGACTAAATTTAAAACATAAGAAACCAATTTTTGTGCACTTATAATGAAATTGGGTATTTTTAGTGATTATTTGTTTTCTCAATTTATGATTTTCAGTTTTAATATCAACGCCTCGAATCATCAATATTTACATTATTAATGATAATCTATATGATTTGTATGATTTCTTATGTGTTTCCTAGGTCCTACGTCAACCTAGTATAAATGAGTCTAAATTTATCATGTTTATTTTCTTTGTATGTTTAATTTATTATATTTATTTAAGAGATAATGAGCTTCATTTCAATATTATGTTTCAGCTCATACCAGACTTAACATGACTTATCGTTGTTTATTAAATCATGTAAATTAAATATTTATAAAACTAGAAAATACTAATTTTTAGATTTTTAGAAATATTTCAAAAAAATAAATCAATTATAATTTGATAAAAGATTTTTAAAATAGTAGGAAATTTTCTAGCCAATCACAAGAATGTAACATATATGGTATTATTTCTGATTTTTTAAATAATATTATTTTTTATATAAAAAATAAACATAAAATAGATTTGAAAATATATGAAAAAAAGAAATAAGAGTGTGGATGTCAAGATGACATTATTGTCAAAAGAACAACGATTCATGTAGAAATAGAGTTTCACTTGACATTTATTATGTAAATAATTATAGATGATTCAATTGATGAGATTAAGATCTATAAATACCAAAAGAATTGCAATTTGAATAAAGAAGAGTTTTGAAATTTGAAGTAAAATAAATTATTATTAATTTTTAAATATTAAACTAGTTTAAAATAAGTAAGAATGAATTTCGACATTACAATAATGATGCATCAAAATTTTGAGAGTTTGAGATGATTACCATGCGATGTCTATAGTCTTAAAATTTTATCCTTAGACATGTATGACCTAGGCATTATCTTAATCTCCTTTCAAAGTCTAAAGAATGATGGTGAAAATTAAACTAATTAAAAATAATAAAATAAAATTCTAATATCACAATAGTGATGTGTCAAATTTTGAATATTTAAGAGGACTATTGTATAATGTTTACAACCTCAAAGGCTCTTAGTGGGCATAGACAATATAGATAATTTTTAAATCTTCTTACAAAGTTTAGAAATTGATGAGATAAGTTGACGAATTATCTTCAATAATTATCACTCAACCAAATAAAAATACAAGTTATGACGATTATGACCCAATAGAGATAAATTAGATGGAGGTAGGACACATATTAAGGAGCTTTATCCTCAAGTCCACATAACAAAAAGATATTTTTCATCACATTTGGTATACTCTCAAGAAGTGATGACTTGTCTCTTAATAAATCATCATCTCTTGACGGATTGTATTCTTTTTAATAATGACTTATTTGTTGATCAATTAGAAATAATTTATTCGATAAATTTGTGATCTTTTTATTTATAATTATTTAATAATTTTAGTAATAATACTCCATGAATCACATTGATAATATTTTCATTGATGATTGAGTGATTTTAATGGCTAAATTATTGACAAATACTATATAGAAAAATCATGATCTAATTATATAAAAAATATAAATTTTCATTTTGAGAGATTTAAACCTTCGCCAATCACCCCCTATATTAAAGAAAGTGAAATAAGTATGTAAATATTGTTATAAAATGACTTCACAAGGTATCTCATTCTCATAAAAAATGAGTATTTTGATATTAAAGTCATTAAAAATCTTTTAAAAAATTATAATGCTAATTTTGTCCCACATCAATTATTTTATGAGTTTTGAAAATACATATATAGTAATACAAGATTATGTCATCAATAAATTTTTCTCTTATATATATACAACCATTTCTTACCTCACACTCGACTAGCCATTAGTGACATGGAAGGAGAGTGATACACACGTGATCTACCAACTATTAACCACTCGTGTCCATTATTTGCATTTTCACTTAATTATACTTCTAACCTATTTGTAAGCCTAGTTAGATAATGGTCCCATCTTTTTATATATTTTTATTTAAAAAAAATTATTTATCTCAAAAATATGATTATAAAAATTATATAAATTCACATAAATTCACATAAAATGACATAATTAACTAAAATTTCATATTAATCAACTAAAAACTATTTTTCACAATTCAACCTAAATATAAGTCCATTTATCATGAGTTAAGACAAATTATATTATTAATTAATTATTAACTCTTGATAATAAAAAGTTTTACTAAAATCTATAGGCCAACTAAATAACTTATTTTAGTTGAGGAGGAGGCTTACTAATAAGTCTAAATTTAAAGGTTTTTAGTTGAGGAAGAGGCTGTTTTAATTCAAACTTAATCAATAATAAATGTTCTACTTAGTTACTCTATATCAGACATAGGGCAAATAAAGGGTCAATTCACAAGGTGGCAGGTGTTCAATTTCAAATTTTTTTAGTCTTAAAAATGGTAGAAATAAATTTAAAAGTTAGGAATTTACTCTTTGGAAGTATTTCAGGATTTTAGAGAGCTTAATAGAATTTTCTGGAATTAACCTGTGCAGGAAATACGGCTAATGATTAGAATTTTATTTTTTAGTATTTGTTTCTAATTTTAATTATTTTTTTTATTTAATGCAAAAGAACAACAATAAATAATACTAAAATAACTTACCTTGGCGGTTGACGGTCGGGTCAGAGGATGGGCTGCGTGAGTCGCAGAACTCCCGTGACCGTTTCCAGACTTAACCGAAATTTAGGACTTTCGGTTACGTCCGGAAGGGTCGAGAGAGAGAGAGAGCGACGGGCTCGCAACGACCGGCAGCGAGTGCACGGCGGCTGGCGATGGGCACGCGGCGGTGCTCAGTGGACGCGCGGCTGCTGGCGATAGGCGGCAGTGGTGGTCGGCGAACGAGAGAGATGAGGAGCGACGGGCACGCAGCGACCGGCAGCGAGCGCACGCCGGCTGGCGAAAAGCGGCGGCAGACGGAGCGACGGGAGACGGCGGGAAGAGACGGAGGCTGCGGGAGAAGGCGGAGAGAGAAGGAACGATGGGTGAAAACAGAGGAAAACGTGGAGCTGTTGGAGGGGGCGGAACGGAAGACAGCGATGGGAAACAACAGAAAATGGGTGTTGATGTTCGTCCTTTGAGCCCTCAAGACTCCTTCCTCTTCTTGGATCTTTAAATTCCGCCAGGATCAGGCGTTTTTCACTGCAAGAAGGAGAAGAGCAAGCATGAACGATTCAAAACGACTTACATCTATCAGGGTGGATACCCCGAATCCCGGAGAATGCCTTGTCCTGCAGGCTAGCCACTTCTAGAGTACGTCCAGAATGGGGGGGTAAAGAGGGAGGATGAGAGTATTTATACAAGGGCAAGCATGACTAAAATGCCCCTTCATAATTCCCTCATCTGTCTCCATAAATTTCTACATCGCTTCCTCCATGGACTTAGGCGGGTCTAAATGGGCCTAGACATGTCACCCGAACCTCCTCTAATTTCACTTTGAAGCTCCAAATCCGAAATTCCTCCAAAGTACTCCTAGCCCATTAAGCTAACTTTCATCCACTAAAGTGCTCTTAATATATTGTTGATTTCTGTTAAATTCTGCACGCATGAAAACTTGAAAATATTTATCAGTAATAAAACTGCTTGACTTCTATGAAGTTAAGCAGGGTTAGTCAAAAATCATGTAAAATTCATGCATAGTGTGCAAATAGTGAAATTAATGCAAATCCAAAAATATTTAAATCATTCTATTGATAACATGATATTTTCAGGATTTAAATGAACAAAAACCACATGAAATGTAAGGAATAATCAACACAAATATCAGGTTATCACTCACCAAGAAGTAAGGAGCCCCCCCTCAAATTAAGGAAACCACCCCATTTAAGTTTAGTTCATTCCTTTCTTGATTAGAAGGAGGGGTATGTGGCACCCCAAATATCAGGTTTGATGAATTATGTTAAAAATCTATTTAATATTTTACATTCAATTTGATTATGTTTGACATTAACTAGTATGGTCTTTATCATCAATTTTTCTCTGATTAACATATAAACATTAGGTTTTACCAATGAAGATCATGGAATTTCGTTTTACAATCAAATACAAGACATCCATCGACAATAAGGCAATATATGCCCTCTCAATAACATCACAATCTCTGCTACAGTGGGAATCAATTATTATCTTGTATTTTCCTTTTGATTATCACAAATTAACTGAAAAGTTTGATGATGACGACCTGTATAAGGCCTTAAATACAAGACTAGGTAATATCAAAGACCTATCAAATGGACTAAGTAGAGGGCCCTAAATACAAGCTTCATTGTGGGCTTTTATCCTACAAAGGGCAACTATCTATCCCTATGAATTATGGTGTTATCTCCACTTATACTTAGAGGATATAATGATAACATAGCTTGGGGACATTTTGGATTCTTTTGTACCTATAAATGCATGACCCATGAAATTTATTGGCAGAAAATGAAACAAGCGATCAAAGATTATGTAAAATAGTGTCCACAATGCTAATGCAACAAATATGAAGCTATCACTCTTTACGGTTACTCCAATCCCTCCTGATCCCTAACCTAATTTCAGATGATATCTTTCTTGATTTCATTGAAGGCCTCCTGTGCTCCAACAAATATTTAGCAAGCTTGGTAGTGGTTGACATGTTGAACAAATATACTCATTTCATTTCCCTCAAGTATCCATACATGACATAATTGGGAGAAGAATTCCTTACCCGCACTGTCAAGTTACATGATAAATTGAGGTCTATTATATTTGATAGAGATAAAATATTCACCAACTTGTTTTGGATAGAATTGGTCTATTTTCAAGACACTTGAAACACATCACAACATTTCATACCTAAATCAATGGTCAAATGAAGGTCGTTAACAAGTGCCTCGACACATCATTGTTCTTGTGACATGCCTAAGTAGTAGAACATGTGGTTGTCATGGGCTGAGTATTGATATAATATTACCTTCCACTTGGCGACCAACAGTACAACATTCCAACTTATTTATAGGTGTGACCCTCCACCAATTATCCACCTCAACTCTTCATCAATAAGGTTGAATCTTTGGAGGCCCAGCTGCAACATTGGGATGCCATCTTAGAGCAGCTAAAACAATAATTCATTCATGTTGAAGGATGTATGAAAAATCTAGCAGAACACTGTGGTGGAAAAATCTGACAGAAGTTGAATTCATTGAGGGTGACATGGTGTACTGATAACACACCATTTATTTATGCTAAGTAATGTTAAATTATTTTAAATGCCTATGATTATATGATAATTAACATGTGACTGGTCAAAAATAGTGTTAAACATGTTTTGAATGATTAGTACTAAATATATGTTTATTTGTGAAATTTTTAAGGATTTTATATCATGCTTATAGACTTGTGGTATTTCTTTCTCCTAAGCTCTAATTTGTTAATCCAAGGTTTTGGATCTTGGGCTAATTTTTATGATTGATTTATGAGGCTAGATTTTGATTTGGAGGCTTTTAATATTATTTTTTTTGGCGATTTTTGGTGATTTTTCCAGATTATTTTGGCAGCCTGTGTCGAATCTCAGCAGAGACTGGTCCATTTCCAAATCGCTGACTACTAACTTTCCGGAAATCTTGGTAGATGCTTTCTCACCGAATTCCGATCATGACAACAATGGATCGAGGCTAGAATTGAGATCCATCTCCCCCTTTCTTGGCTTTCTCTAGCTGACAGATGGACAGGGCTACTTGTTGCTCCATTTCCTGCTTTCTTGGAGTGTTATCTCTGTCGCCCTCTCCCTCCACAGCCGCCGGTCATTCTTCCGTCCGCCACCACTGTCGTCATCACCGTCACCCTTCCGCCGCCCACTGTCGATCTCCCCCTTTTCCGCCACCGTGCAACCATCCGCTAGCCTCCACCATCGCCTTCTCCCTCCATCGCCGCCGCTCAGCCTTCTCCCGCCACCGTCGCCTACTCCCTCCATCGCCGGCGCTCGACCTTCCGCCTCCACCGTCGCCTTCCCCCTCCATCGTCGCCACTCCGCCTTCCGCCTGCTACCTTCTCCGCCGCCGACGAACCTCCTCCCAGCCACCACCGCCGTCATCATCTCTTTCTCTCTCTCTACCTTCGGCCCTTTCCTCTCCCCGACGCTTCGTTTTTCGGAGTCAGCTGCGGGATCGGTGCTTTCGCGGCAGCTAGGGCTTAAAACCAGCAAGTCCTTATTGGGCCGTCCTTACGAGGCCCATTACCCGGGTTATTCCCCTTCCGCCCACCGGGTCCCTTCTAGGCCGGGTCCGTACCCACTAGACAGATCCGACGGGTTCCAGCCGTAGGCGATTGGCAACCAGCCCTCCACTTCTACGCGGTAAACGGTCAACGGTCATTTTCATTTTTATTTTCATCCCCATCAGATTTTGTAATACGATTTAAATTAAATCTTCTCTACACCTCATTGCTTGTGGGGTTGACCCTTTTCCACCATTGATTTCATTATTTTGCAGGTTGACTTTCGTCGTTCTCGAGTTCACAGATGGGTTCTTCGAATCTCCAGTCAACATCTGGAGGCGATTTTGGAAGGTTTCTAGAAAGATCTTCCAACATTGGTGCAAATCTACTGGGTGCTGGTGTTGATCGTGGACATGAATTCTCTCTCTTACTTAACGAAAAGTGGCCGTTTGTCCTCTTCACAACAGGGAAGGCATGTTATTGGGCTCGAGTGGGGTTGAGGCTCATTACTTTCCAATGGGCTGACTTATTTCTTAAAGGCTTGGTCCAATAGATCCATTTCCCTCCAGATGGGTCGAATATCTTTAAATGGGCCTGAGGTCCGTCCTGCTCCTCACAACGGACGCCATGGAGGCGGCGGGCTCCAGGTGGGTGGGAACGGCGGCGGCGGCGGCTGTCGCGCTTGCGCTGGCTGGATTCTCTGGTGGGCATGAAAAAAGGGTTATTGGGGAGAAAGAATGATGGGAATCTAGCAGAGCTCTTCTGTAATGTAATGTGTCGTCTCAAAATCTGCAGCCCGCCGCCGGTGGAGACGAAGATGCAGGGCCTTGGCCGAGCGAGTAAGGGAGCTGGAGGCGCAGCTCAAGGCTTCTGTGGAGAAGGGCGCCGCCGAGAGGTGCGGCAGGATCAGGGCCCAGCAGGTACGGCCTTCTTTGGCGCCGTCTGCGGACGCTGGGTCAAGTTTTTACGGTTCCGCGGTTTCTGGGTTGGAAGAATTTTTACTACGGGGGTTTTAGGTTCTGCTGCGAACTCTCCTCCTAGGCTCTGCGAAAGGCGTTGGCCCGCGGGCAGGAGACTTCACCTTCATCGTCGTCGTCGTCATCTTCTTCGGGTTCTTACCCGATGACCCCCATGGCCACAGTCAGGTCGTGCTTCTCCACGAGGTAGGTAATCTCATGGCTGCTTGTGCTTTCGCGAGATTTACATCTTGCGGGGGTGACCATATGGACGGGAATTCCCAGGAATGGGACGCCGAGACAGCCCTTGCTGGTCCCCTTAGCCAGGGCATGCCTGACGCTCGACACCAGCCGCGTCCCTCCGGGTGCCCTCGAAGGTCTCGCAGAGTACTCCCATTGTTGGATCCTTTACGTCTTCCACCTGAATACGGACCTGGAGAAGCTCTGGAAGCATCCCTCTAGATCGGGTTTCAAAGCAAAGGTTAGAGCGAGAATCTTCTCCCCAAATTATGGTGTGCGGCTTGCTCTCAACTTGTTTCGAAAAGGAAGCAGTTGAGTTATCGTCTCTTCTCTGCGCCAGGTGAGAGTGCCCAGGCTCAAGGGCGGTAAGATGGGAGTCCTCGCCACCAGATCTCCGCATCGGCCTTGTCCAATCGGTCTCACTGTTGCCAAGGTAAGGACGAACTTTGCAGTCACGGAGAGATTTTTCACTTGCCAATTCTAGTATCTCCTCTTGTGGGAAAAGAAAAAGTCTTATTTTGGGTTGAAGCCAAATAAATCTAAGTGATCAGAGTTTTTTTACAAGTGTAAAAAGTCTTCCTGTATTAAGTCGGCCATCTTATTTTGGGGAAGAAGTATTTTTTTTCTTAATCTTTCTGAATTTATGGTGCTCTCACATGAAGCTCCTAATGGTGACAAATTGGCTGAGAAACATAAACCCATTCTACTGGTTACATATTGAGTGTTGATTTCCAGGTGGAGGGAGTGGATGGGCGTGCCGTTCTACTTTCGGGGGTTGATCTTGTTGATGGAACGGTAGCCAGTTTCTCTAATTCCTTGTGGTGGGAAGTGCTATATTTTCGGTTATGAACGCGGGCTTAGGGCATGCATGCATTCATTTTGATGTTTGTGGACAGCCTGTGCTCGATATAAAGCCATATCTACCCTATTCCGACTGCGTTCGAGGAGCAAGAACGCCCACATGGCTGCAGGTATTTTTTCTAAGATTTTTTCAGTTAATTAGCTTCTTCATTCCTTCAACTGCTTACTTAATGTATATGGAAATGGCCAGCAGATGTTCTTGTGAAATGTCTGAGAATGAAGATTCATACTGTAGATCTTTGCCAGTAGCTCTCCTTTAGGATGATGCTATCTGATGAGTTTCGGACGGTGATTTTTGTTTGTCGGGCTCCTTCTTCTTTTCTAAAAGAGGGAACTGTGATGAATAGTTCATCCTGGGTGAGGATTTTCATTTTGGGTCTCAGTGCCGTTTCAGCAAGTCTGGTAAACTCTCAAAGGAATCAGGAGATATGGTTTGATTCTTCATAATCCTTTTCATCTTATCTTTGGGCCTTCCCGTCCTAGCCCCTTTTTCCTTCTATCAGTGCAGTTGTGCCGTGGATTTCTGCCTTTCCCTTTCTTTCTGGCTCCTCCTCCCTCTCTAAAGATCATATTTTAGACGGTTGTGATCTTATCTCATTTACTGTGCAAGATCTTATGGGAGTACACCAAAACTTTTGAAGGCATTCTTTGTGAATGAGTGCAGAATCAGGGAAATATTCGAAGCCTAGTTCTGATATTATGCTTATCTCAAAGAAATGGATCTTCTCCCAATAAAAAGAAGAAGAAAAACGCATCTTAATCCGAAGTTCTCAAAACCAGTGTGGTCATGCTCTCTCCTTGGTTCTTCTGTATCAGTTGGGGAAGCACTTTGCCAGAGTTTATTGAGAATGACATGGCTTGCTGCATCTTCCAGCTGTTCTGATGTAGATATCATAAACGCCTGCGTATTTCTATAACTTAGTGTTCCTTTCGATTTCGTCTCGAGTTCTAATCACGTGCTTATTCTGCATTCTGCATACGGCAATGGACATCTGCTGCGCGCAGGAGAGCAGCTCACTGGATGTGGCTTCTGTTCAATTCTCTGAGGGCTTCTCTTCCTTGCTTGCTAAGTGCTGGGAAGCTGCTGTGAGTACTCCCTTAATTCAAGCTCCGATATTTTAATGGCATCCATAAAGCTGTACGCGGCGAATTATTATTGCATGGAAGCACACTTTCTGGACGAAAACCTGTGGGCCATCTGATTTTGGTTAATTAAAATTATGTTATCTAAGAACAGATGATGCCTAGAAAAAGTTGGTGTGGTCGGCGGCCATTATCTTCTGATGATTTGTGGTTTGAATAAAACACTTGTCTGATTCATAAATATTATAATCTTCTTCTGAACTAGGGGGTTTTCTTTTCAAATCAAATGATTCGCATCCATCAAAGTCTAATATTTTAAGCCATTTAATCCCTCTGTACGCTGTTGTGATTGTTCCAGGGGAAATGGTCATTATATGCTTCTGACGATGAATTAAAGGACTTAATCAGGCAAGTTCTTTCTTGGGATATAAGGTCCATGTCTCAAAGGAATCGCCCTCATGATGCAACATCAGCGGATAAATCCGGAGCTTCTGATGTCCAATCAGACATGGGGAATGAATCAGACGAAGGATCCAGAGAGTCTGCTCGAGCCTCTTCACTCTTACCTGATGAAGTGACGTACCACTTAATAGTGGAAGGGGTGGATATCACGTACAGGATTGATGAAAATTCCAACATCATGGTTGAGGGAGCCTCACTTTCAAATATAAAAAATAATTCCAGGCACTCTGGAAGTAATGCTACATGGAGAAACAAGTTTTCTTAGGCGAATTCATCTCGCAATTATTTCTGTTGGAAACCAGCGGTACAAATCCCTCGTTACCAAACCAGGTTCGATGGTTGAACAGCAAATGAATGACTGCTTCAACGAATTATGGGGATTCGATCTTCCACTGTTTGGAGCCTGTTGAAACCCCTCGACTGAAGAAATTCGTGCAAGAGCCAGCCCAGCCCATCTTTTCAGTAAGCTTATGAGAACTTGCACTCGAAGACAGCCCATTGGGTGACGAAGCCAGATTATGAGAGGAGAAGTTTCTTTAGCTCATTGCTATGTCCATCCCTTCGTTGCCTCGGCATCTGAGAAATGACAAAACTTTTCTCAGAATTGGAGGCAGCGTTGCTCAGCAAAAAAGGATGAGGGTGGTTCATCCCGTCCTGAGGTTGCAGCCCAGTTCAAGCCGCTGAAGGACTGAATTCCCGATTCTTTGGAGAGGTACAAGGAAGGCTTACTCTGTAGATTTTCCCTTTATTTGGTTGAAGGCATATATTGTAATGAGCTACGGATGTGTCAGACATGATTCAATTATGTTGGCGATCAGGGCCTAAAAACTTATTCACAGTGAGAATTATGTTGGTGACCCAGTGAAGTCGCAGAATCTTCGGTGGTGGGTAGGCCCCCCCCCGCCGGAATCTTGTAGTTCTGCCCCAATGTCTCGTCCTGGTCCTCCTATTGGGGGCAGTCCAACGCCTACTGGCGGCTGCTCGTCGTCGGCCAGCGGTTCATCTTCTCCTTCAGACGTTGTCTCGGTTGGCTTCACTCGGCGTTCTTCGTGTCCCTAGAGAAGGTTTCCGATGCAGGCGGCCAGGAGCGCTAACGTGGAGACTACACCGGTGACGAGGAACAGCCCCCGCAGGCTGTGCAATGTGATGCGGCTGCCCCCGGCGTCGGGCTGCTGGCACTGGCTCGTATCGTTCGTCAGCATCCATCGCTTCTCGATGTCGTCCATGAACGGGCCCTGAGACAAGCTAACCACCGCCTTCGATACATCCGAGAGAAGAGGAGAGTCCTTCCGGAAGGCCTGCATGGGGGGATAAAATTTAAGACCGAAGGGTTCTGCCGACGACAACTAGAGAGAGAGAGAGAGAGAGGTGGAGAAGTGAAGCTGCTCACGAATCCGAGCCCCGCAGTCCTCTGAGTCGGGCCGATGATGGTGTAGCCCTTGCAGTACTTTTTGAGGAAGAGCTTGATGTATGGGAGCTCATCGAAGACGGCGTTCACAGTGCCGTTTGTAAGAGCCGAGGCATATTCGTCCGGGCCCATCAAGGGAACCAGCTTGGAGCCGAAGGTGGGCTTCAGCAGGTCCCCAAGGAAGGAGCCTCTGCTGTACCCTACGAACTTCCCGCTCCTCACCAACTCGCCCACGTCATTGAACGCCGGCTCGAGCTTCGCCGCTGTCAGAATAGACGCCAAGCTAGCCGTGTAGGTCGACGTCAATATGAGCACCGCGAAGAGCCACACGATTACCACGGCCTTTGATAAGCTGCTCTTAAGCTCTTGGCCTGGATAAATTGTAGACAACATCATTAGAAGACGAGAACAGATAGAAGAAGGCCTGAAGAAGTGACCTGGATACAAGAAGAAGAATTGAAGAAGACTTTGGAAGTTAGAAGAAGAAGGCTTGACGAAGATGGGGGAGAGTAAGGCTTTTAGAGAAAAAGAAGACTTGGATAAGACGTGGAAGAAGGCTTATAGGTATCAATGTACTGTACTGTGCGCAAAGACGAGAGTGGAGAATGTGAAGTACAGAACGTTGCTGATGACTTGAAGAGGAGGACCCGTGAAATGCTCGTTCTGGTTCATACGCTCGATCCCCCACATAATGAAACCGGTAAGTAGGAAGAAGCAGAGGCTGCACAGCCATAACTCGTGAGTCAATGGTTCCATGAAGACCCATGTTCTCCCTCTCTTGTTGTCTTCTTTGAGGGGAACGATCATGTAGACCCCTGATTCCGTGTACGGCAGGGTGAAGTCCACGTACTGGAACCGATGAGCCATTATCGTCACGTCTCCCGCCACGGCATCGTAGTCCTACTCCCCAACACGAGATAAAATAGCGATTGCCAATGCATTTCAATGAGAAACAATTAGGTTCCATAATGAAGGAGAGAGAGAGAGAGAGAGAGAGAGAGAGAGAGAACCAAATTCACAGTTAACGAAAGTAATCAATAGTTGAAATGAGTGGACATCTACAATAAACAAGGGTACTGAATAATTGATTCGATTTAATAGCTTGCAATCAGAGGTTATAAAATCGATCAACATGGTAAGACGCGCGGATAAATGGTTGGGGTTGCTTCCCTAATTGAGATTTTGATTCGAGTAGGACAGTCTGATTCCTTGCGGGTCTCTTAAGCCACGATGCAAACTGATTAACTTAAATGGATGATGGTATGTATTAGCTACAGGTCTACGTAGGAGAAAAAAATATGAACTCACCCCTTTGGGGACCTGCTGCACGAGCAAGTCGTAGGACCCAGAGGTTCCATTACTGTCCGCATAAGGGAAGTAGTCGAAGGGAACATAGTAGGGCAAGGACTTCATCACGTTATTGAAGATCTCTATGCAGTATCCTGTGGGTACTTTCTCCTTGGTGACGGGATCTTCGTCAAATCTCACGAACTCGAAGAAGCTATCCGTCACCGGGACAGCAACCCTGAGCCTTCTCCCACCGGTGGTGATCTCCCATCCTCTCGGGACTGAGGTGGAATCTCCTGGCCAGACGACGGCGCCGAGCTCGTCCTTATTGGTCGGAGATCCCAACTGCGGTGACAGCCCACGTTTGGGTGTCCAGAAGCCTATCCCCTTTTGCCCATTTCCGACGACATTGACTATCTGATACGCCGAGCTCTGCATCTGCCCGTTGACCAGACGGAATTCCCCGCTGAGGCCTGTAAAGCTCGTCTCAATGACCTTTTTGAGGATGGTCGGACCCATCTTGGACATAGCCAGCGCGTCTAGATCCGTGGAGTTGCCAAAGATCCGTGTCTTCTCGAAGGAAAACCTCTTAACTTCAACCTTCTCTAGGGCCAGGGCCAGGGCTCTGACGGAGTCGTAGGCCCAAAGGCTGAAGATGGAGGGGTCGATCCTCTCGGCTTCAGGGTTTTCATTGCGATACTTCCGCTTCCATCGACGGATGAATGCTTCAAGTTCTGCGGTTCTGGGTACGTAGGGCTTCACACCCACGAAGCCCTGCATGGCGCTGATAACTTCGTGGTCGACAGAGTCAACGAGGTTTGCGATGCCATCGGTGACGATCCATGCAAACCCTTTCGTCGTCATTCCTATCGCCTTCGCCTTCGAGAAGACACGAGTGCCGACAGGCAGAGACATGTGCACAATGAACACCCTCGTCTGTATCATCTTCAAGTTGAGGAGCTCTTCCTTGATCTGGTCGTCCGTTGCCGAAGGGGGTATCACTGTCCTGTGGGGGACTCTGATGCTGTTCGCTTGCAGGGTGTCGATAAGGTAAGGGATGACCCCGTTCCCATAATCGGTGTCTTCATAGATGATGACGGCTTCTCTCCACGCATAGTACCTGACGATGGAAGCCACGGCGTCGACCTGGGCGGAGTCGTTGATAGCCATCCTCACGAAGTAAGACCTAGCTGAAGACGTGAGGAAGGGGCTCGTTGCTGTGAAGGAGATAGATGGGACCCGAGCTTTGTCTGCTATGTCAGATAAGAACCTTGCCTGCGCGGATTTCTGAGGGCCTATGATTGCTAATACACCTTCCTTGTTCAGTAATCCAAGGGCTGAATTCTCTCACATAAAATTACGTTAGATTATTCTCAAGATAGTCGGGAGAGACGTAAACCTGCGATGCTATACTAGATTTGTTGAGAATTAATCAAACGGACTGATTTGTTGGCAAGTAAAACCTCAATTGGTGCGTCCTCAAGTTCAAGGACTTCTGTTAACACAGTTTGAAAAGCAACAGGGTTTGAGGAAGAAGCAGGGAACTTGTTTGTTTTCACGGTTTTCTAGTGGCTGTGAACTATAAGTTTGGAATAGTGAGAGGGGCGAAGAAGACTACCTGCGGATCCGGCGCCGATGACACTGGCCTCGCCATCCCTGGGGTGGAGCACCAGCCGGGTTGTGAAATTGCGGTTGGCGGCGTAGAAGTCATCGACGGCCATGGAGATGCTGGTCCAGCACATCTTCCCGACCAGGGTCCGCATGTCGAGGATAACACCCACGTCCACAGAGACGAGGGCTTCCGACCTGTCGTCCCGCTGGCCGAGGGTCGGTGTCCCGGCGAGGAGAATGGAGAAGAGAACCAACAGAGTCCTTCGCTCCATTCTATTTCCGATGAGCGAAACTGTCCAAGTAAGCTATCACGAGAGAATGAGGAGATTGTGCTCTTCTTAAGGACAATGGAGATCTCTTCGTTTTCGGGTGAGATGGTAAGTCAGAAGTTAATGCTAGGTGGGTGTTGTGGGGGTTGGGGACGGGGGTCCTCTTAACTCTGTGTTGGCGTCCTTGGGCTTCACAATTCAAAGGCGAAACCCCTAAGCAACTTCAAGGCAGATTTGGCTGACCAGCCATTTCTGATAGCAACTGATCGTTGATGAGGCTGACAAACTTTTTCCCAGATGCCACATGAGACAATCCTCCTCAGCGTTGAAGAATTCTCCACAGTCGCCATCTTAATTGCGATGGCTAAATCGACGATCTGATATGATATGAAACACCAGTTTCAAACTTCTATTGGACATTAATTCTCTTTCTGGTGTGTTTCTTCGGGCGAGACAGACCTAACCGTAATGGAGACAAAAGAGGTTCTTCTGGTCAAACATTTCGTACCTGCCGGAAGATCTTGATCTACAAGTTTACATCCACATCCCAGTAAGAGAGAAGCCTTTTTCATGTCCTGATAAAGAAAATGTGGAAAAAGATGTCATTACATCATAAAACTGAATTGAACATCATCTAATTTTAACAGAAAATAAAATGCTTGTTGCGTAAAAACTCTTGGTTAGATTTGG